TTGAGAAGGGATAAGGAACAGTTTATCAGTAATCTTGCAGAGGAGGTCGAAAGCCATTTCCTAGTAAATGACCTTCGTCCTGCCTACCAAGCCATGAGAAAGCTGAACTCCAAGCCCTCTTCACAGACGACGGCAGTCTTCTCAGCAAGTGGCCAGGTAATCTCAGATCCTGATGGGGTCCGTGTGCGTTGGGCTGAGTATTTTGAGCAGTTGTATCAGGTTGATCCACCAACACTTAACTTGGATGCTGGTAATGTTGAGATTCCTCTGCCAGACCCACCCATCAGCGAGGATCCACCCTCCCTGACTGAAGTCAAGGGGGCGATCTCCAAGCTGAAGAGTGGTAAAGCAGCAGGTGTTTGTGACATCCTAGCTGAATTGTTAAAGGCTGGTGGAGAACTTATGGCAAGGGGCTTGCATGCAGTCCTGTTTGCCATCTGGCAGACCGGTACCATTCCCGCTGACCTGCTGAGGGGTGTGGTCATCCCTCTCTGGAAGGGGAAAGGGGATCGGTGGGACTGCAGCAATCACCAAGGCATTACACTGCTCAGTGTACCAGGCAAGGTACTTGTGCACATCTTTCTGAGATGTATCAGAGACCACCTCCTGAGGCACCAAAGACTGGAGCAATCTGGATTCACTCCTACATCGACCTCAAGAAGGCGTTTGATACGGTGCATCGCGAATCACTCTGGGAGATCCTGAGACTGCAAGGAATTCCAACAAGGATTGTTGGACTAATAGCAAACCTGTATACAGGCACTGAAAGTGCTGTAAAGTGTGTTGGGGGCCTGTCGAGCTTCTTTCCTGTTAGTTCAGGCGTGAGGCAAGGCTGTGTTCTTGCACCAACACTTTTCAACACTTGGATGGATAGGGTACTGGGTAGAACTACTGTTCAAAGTCACTGTGGAGCAACTCTGGGCAATATCAAGGTTACAGACCCTAACATTGCTGATGATGTTGCCATTCTTACTGAAAGCAATGAAGCGAAGCCCAAAGATCCAGCATTTTGGGGGCCTACTAGGAGACCCTGTGCAGTCGGTACGTGCTTGCAGTGAAAACATCGAAGTCACAAGGAGCTTTTTCATGGCTCTGGGCTCTGGGATGTCAGACCAGGAAGACAGTAGACGGATTGGCCTGGCAGCAGGGGTCATGAAATCTCTCGACAAGAATATTTAGAGATGCCGGTACCTGTGCAGAAGGACCAAGCTACGTGTTTTCAAGACCCTGATACTGCCAGTTTTACTATATGGTGGTGAAACTTGGATGCTATCTTGTGCTTTGGAATCTCGTCTCGATGCCTTTTGTAACAGATCCTTGCGCCGGATTATGGGGTACAGTTGGCGTGACCATGTGTCCAACCAACGGCTACACCATGAGACCGGTACAGGATCTGTTACTTGCACAATCCGTGATCGCCAACTCAGGCTATATGGCCACTTGGCTCGATTCCTACAGGATCCTGCCCATCAGGTTGTCTCTGTCCGTGACAACCCTGGGTGGAGGAGGCCTGTGGGACGACCGAGAAGGTCGTGGCTTGGGCAGATCGATCAAACCTGTTGTGAGAAACTAGAAATGGGCCGGGCCCCTGCCTGGCGGCTCGCCATGAGGGACCCTCGTAGGTGGAAGCAAAGGGTGGATGCGGCTATGCGCCCCTGCCGGCGTTAGCTCCCAAATGATGATGATGAGTACATTTGACTTAGGATTTGAATTTGCAAATCAATTTCTTTAGTATGAGATGTAATGTCTATGGAAACAGTGAGATCCTAGTTGTAAACACCTTTTAGTGAGTCTTGTGGCATGGTGGTTCAACCCATTCGCGATGGGTGTCACGTATCCGTGACATGCCCACTGTGAGTTTACTCGTTTAATTGTTTTTACACATAGATGGCTAGACTTGTTGCGAGTACTGCCTGTTTCGCCCATTTACCCTTTTCTTTAATTTACAAAAAATATTTTACGTTATCTTATTTTGCTGTTACTAATGTTTATAACTTCATAGTAATTATTATGTTTATAATAAAAATAACCATCGATATTCATAGCTCTAGTAAAAAATACATTTTCCTGCCAATTCGAGTAAAAGTGAAATCAGGTAAGGCAGAGCCATCTATGTGTAGAGACATTTCATGAAAAATATAAAAAAATGAACACAGCATTTTCCCCATTTTTTGTTCATTATTACCCGTAGCATTATTCCATCTTTCATAAATAAATATCCATACAACTCACTTGATTTGAATTGCTAAATCAATTTCCACTAAGTGCTTATGGAGAGTGTGTGTAAAACTTCACTACCATTATTTTAATATGAGAAAATAGGTAATGTCTATGGAACCAGAGAGATCCTAATTAAGATCCTAGTTAGTGGGTCATATGGTATGGTTGGTTTAGTACTGGTCCTCTGGTTCATACCTGAAGTGACCTAGGTTCGAGTCTTGGTCAGGGAGGGGTTGTTGATTATCGATATCAATGTGGCATTGCATTTTCACATCATTCC